CAGTGTGGGGAAAGAATGTTTCATTGAAGTGTTTAATTGAAGTGAATGAAACTATAACACAGATCTCATGGAGGAAGATTCATGGCAAAAGTACACAGACTGTTGCCGTTCATCATCCTCAGTATGGATTCTCTGTTCAAGGAGATTATCAGGGAAGAGTCTTTATTTAAAAACTATTCACTTAATGATGCAACAATTATTCTGCAAAACATAGGCTTCTCAGACTCTGGAAAATATATTTGCAAAGATGTTACATTCCCACTTGGAAATGCCCAGTCCTCTACAACTGTAACTGTGTTAGGTAAGTGTGCTTGAGTTGGGTTTGATTATTATGATAAATCTTAAAACAGAAGATGGTTTCAAGATTTGAAACATGAAGATTTCTATAAATTTGGTTTAAATTAAATTTGCACTTTCAAGTTCTGTCTTAAAGTTGTGTATTTCTAGACTCTCAACTTAAAGTCTGGGTATACTTGTCTGTAATGCCGTGTAGAGTTTTTCATACTAGTGAACACTTTAATTCTAACATCAGGTGGGATTCTCATCTGTGCATGGTGACTCACACCTGTCATTCTGGCTCTTGAAAGGCTGAGGCGGGATTATTGCCACAAATTCCATGTTAGATGGGGCTACAGAGTGAGATCCTGTTCTTAAAACAAAATCTGAACTATCTGCAACATTTTTATTACTTTACTTTCAAAGCTTGAGTCACATTTGTAGTTGTTTATGTTTTTTCTGGTTTGTTTTGTTCTCAGTGACTTGCATTGGGCTGTGGAGTCTTTAATCACCTTGTGTTTGTTTTTCCCATGGATTTTTGTATCTGCCGCTGAAGATGTGTATACCTATTTGAATCATACACTGTTTTCCACAATAAATTAGGTTTATTTTCCCACCTGAGTTGTTGGAGTTTATAATGAAAGTGTTGAGTAAACTTGTTACCTTGTAATTCTCTGAAGTGGACCGTAAAGCAGACTGGAAATCCTGATGAGTGCTGTAGTGGTCAAGATCAGGGATGAAGGAACCACAGCAATCTGTAGCTAACAAGGAGAATACTACTGACCTCCTTCAGAAAGCTTCAGTGCTCAGCTCCAGGAGCCCAGCATTTCCCTAGGCTAGTAAGAGTTCCTGAATAAGACACAGGAATGACCTGGTGAACACAGCAGTCAAGAAATACGTGATAAAAGAAATGATTGTTAATTCTTAAGTAATGGGTAGTGTGGGTTTGACACATGGAAAGAAATTAGGGCAACATCCTACTGGGATTGACAGGGAAGTTTAAGAGATCTTTAGAGCAAAGTTTCCTTATTTCTCAGTTGTGGAATTTGGGACCTAACATTTTTGTTGTTGTTGTTGTTGTTGACTCTGTCCTATTCATCATAGACTGCTTTGAAGATCCATGGATTCCAAACCATCATATGCTAGTAACACTTCCTCATTGTGATGAAAATCTGTGACCACACAGATGTCCTGAGGAAGTATAGGATTGATGCAATTGAAATGTTTGGAAGGGTACCACTGATAAAGTAGTTTGTCAGTTGATCAAAGCATTCATATGAAGTATAAGAAATTTCCAGTCTGGAGCATATGAAAATAAATTGGTTGAATGGACAATTTGATATTTCCTCTATAGACATGACTTATGTGCTCCTGCCTCATCTGCTCTCAAGACCTTGCTGCTTAGAGCATAGTTTATAGTCCTGCAGCTGTGGTCTTAGTTGTAAATGTACATTTGGGTCCCCTTGTGACTTATTGAATAGTATTCTGTAGGTTCAGCAAGATCATAAGGGGTCCAAGGGGAGATGAGGAAGACTGTTTAGCGGAGGATACCATACACAGAAGCTAGGTAAAGTGATAAAACTATCAGTTGGAGATGACCAAGAAGAGTATAAACAGTATCATTCAAAGTTGACTTTAAATATGCATGTTTCCTGAAGAGGAAAAGAAAGCTTTAGTGAGTATGTAAGTTACTCAAGCCAGTGCTTCAACTGAGGCATGTGGAACCTCAAAGTATATCGTGAACAGTATGATGGCATTAATACTAGGAGAAGATGACTTCGTACTGAAAGCTGATCCAACCTGGAGATACTGGGTAATTAGGAAGAAAGATGAAAAACCTATAGAAGGGAAAGATTGTTCTCAGCCTTTGAGCTAAGATCAAGTGAAGCAAGAGGAAAAGTCTAAGTGTAATTCTGTCTAGTGTGTAGTGTCTAACCTTATTTGCTTTGTATCTCAAAGATTTGCACTCTGAGTAACATTAAACTCAAAGCAAATCGTGCTTGAATAGTCATAGACCCAGTATATAGATATATTACTTTTCAGTAAGCTGAACTTAAAAGTCCTAGCCTGGTTTGTTTATAGGAGCTTGGCATAAAGATAGAAAGATCTTTTCTGGAGGGAAAGTATTTCTACATTAATAATTCAAATACAGGTCTGTCCTCCATTTGAGTACCACCAGTCTTACAAGTGAGAACTGTCTGTATTCAATACCCTATACAAACAAAACAGACTCATGGCCATGAATTTGGCTTAGCTGGTAGAGTGTCTATCATGCATGTAGCCTGGGTTGTGACTCCCCGCTGCCACATAAATTTACCATAGCTTGGGAGTACATTCTTGTAAGTCCTGCATCCTGGATGTGGAGTCAGGTAGAACAGAAGCCCATGGTCTCAGCAGGCACCAGAGTTAGTTTGAGGCCAGCCTTGGGAGAAGAGCAGGATTGCTTTAGAAACACTCAAGTGGATCTGAACAGATGTAGGATATTGACATTACCAGAGGCTCTAAAACACTATCACCTATACCATTTGGGAAAATGCATCAATCTCTATATTTATGGAAAGAACTAGAAACAAGCAAAGCACGTGGTAGTTAGCCTCAGTTCAGAGTAGAATATTTCTTAGTACATAAATAGTCAACCGTCAAGATAAATAACAGATTACTCAGTAAATTTGAATTAACTTTTTCAAAAAGAACTAGGGATACAATTCCATGACAGCAAGTGTCTAGCACTCACAGAACCTTGGTTTAGTTCCTGAGCATGTCACAACAAACCAAACCAAACAAAACAAAACAAAAAATAACCAAAACAAAAACCAAAACCTTCCACAGAACAGTAGAATGGCAAGCTTGAAACTGATTCTAAATAATCTGTGCTGCATATAATTTAGAAGAAACACCTTTTCCATGGTTTATGTATAACCATTACATGACAGTTAAAATAAAAACTGTCTTTAATATACATTTGGTAGAAAAAGAAGTTGAAAATGACCTTTAAAAATCATATGTGATGGTCTCTGTACTCATTCATAACCCAAGTAATGTAGTAAATTTTAATGCTGTGTCACGCTGTCTATGAGATTGGTGAATACTGAATACTTTCATAACATAGCTAGTGATATGGATCCATATCTTGAAAATTGCAAGTTAATTGGCACCTTGGGTAAGTTTAGGTGAAACTGAAAATAAACATTATAGAAACAGGTCTAGTATTTGGTATGAACCAGAAAAAAAGTTGCTATAAATATACCATAATATGAATATGAATGATGGTTATAGAACTATTTAGGAAGAACAGGGAACAACCCTAGTATATACTACAATTCTGGTATAAATAAATGACTTACTGTATAAATAAATTCTACAATTGTTAGCATTCCACATGGATCTAAATCATGGGAAAATAAAGAGTTGAAGTGAATTTAAAAATAAAGCTAAATAAATGAATCTGTATGTCCAACGGTGAATCAAAGAATACCTGCGGGAATAATGTATAGCAGTTCTGTTATGCACTTCAAGCACAGGTAAAGTAAGACTGTCTGGTTTGGATTTGCCTTATTGATTTTAATGAGAAGAGAGTTAAAAGCTCATTTACCAAGTAAGCATTATGGTTCTCCATTAAAGAGCATAAGGTAGGATAAGGAGAGACACAA